TGGATTGTTCGTGGGCCTCAAGGGAGGGGTGGCGGTGTATAACTCAGCACCGAGAGCCAGCGACTTGCACACCGCCGCCCTCCCTGAAGGTACATACATCGGGCGGGGCTAGGACGAGGATCAGTCCGTTCCAGAGCGTTCTAGAACGCTCTCAGAGCGTTCCGGAACGCTCTGGGAAGGCCGCGGCGCCCGAGACATCCTCCAGAACGGCCTGATCTCAGAGATTATCGATGTATCCTTACCCGATGTTATCCTCGTCCTGGCTTCGTCTTGATACAAAGTTCATCGCAGGGTGTCTGTGCCTATGTTTGGTTGTCGGGTCATAACTCGGCTCTCTGGCGGCCGTTCGGGACGATCCAGGCACCCCCGTAACTTGGTCCTTGCTAAAGAGACGGGGCCCCAGCAAGCTCATGCAGATCTACGGTCAGGAACGTTTGCTTAGCGTGTCGCGCCGCCGGTTCTGGCCCACCAGGCTTCGTCGCGGCACGCCGACCACGTCCCAGTCCCCGAGCGTCAACGTCCCGACGTTACCCCAGCCTCCCGCCCTGCGAAGCGGACCGACACGCCATCCGCTGGCAAGGCGTAGCGTGTCGCTGGGGCCGCCGCCGCCGCCACACGCTCAGCAGAAGCTCCTGACTGCACGCATGGTGTGGAGAGAGAGGAAGCCCGGCACAGATAGGCAGGTGGGCGCTCCCATCTGCATCCAGTTGCCCTTCGGCGCGGGTCACGTGGAGTTGCAGGAAGCTCTGGCCGCTGCTGCCGCGGCGTGGAGTCTCCTCGCAACGCCTGCGCATGGCCTGCAGGCGCACCCTGGGCACCGCTGCAGACAGCGCTGGCGCGGCCGCGGCACGGCATGGGCACGTCTGCACACGGCCGTGGAGAGGCTCTACCCACGAAGCTTGCGCGCTTGCAGGCGGAATTCGGTGCGTGCTGTCGGGTGGCGGAAGGGAGGGCTATCGAGAGCGCATTTAGTTTTCAGGAGAGGGAAAGGCACCGATACCGCTAATCTTGCCTCGGTTTCGTCTGTTTTGGCCTCCTGAGAGGCCCTCGTCGCCACGGCTGGATTCGTTGCGAAATTCTGGTCAGATAGCTCCCCGGGGGAGTAGCGGTACATGTACCTCCTGGTTCCACAAATTTGGATTCCCTTTCTTCTCATCTGCCGTTCCTCCTGCTCCCTTCGGGCTCCCCCATCCCGTCCTCTCCACTGCCAAATGGGTCTCGCTAGGCCCCCTCTCCGTATCTCTGTCCATCGGCGTCACCCCAACATACGAATACTATGCGCGCGTCGCCCCCCCAGAGACGACGCGCGCGCCAAGAAGTCTTATTGTATTTTCGTCATGGCGGGCGCTTTCTCTGGCCGTAGCGCTAGGGAAACGATCTACTACAAGACGGTGATACTACATGTTTGGCTCGGATGCACGCCCCCGAGGAGAATGCATAGTACTAGCATGTCCTCGCGCATCCCAGTCCAGTCCACTGTGCCGTCTGTTGCGCCACGGGCCCCAGTGTCCACTCCGTCCCACCCCCCTCGCCTTTCGGGGGTTCGCCCGCCACGCCGCTCCCCCTCTCACTTCCAGCCTCGCCCCCGTGCATCCCTCGCTGCCCTCGCTCTCCGCCCTGTCTGGCCCAGAAAATGGTCTTCACTTTGCAGGTTGTACTCCTCCTCCTCCTCCTCCTCCTCCTCCTCCTCCTCCTCTTCCTGTTTCACCTCCTCCTCCTCCTCCTCCTCCTCCTCCTCCTCCTCCTACCGCACGCTCTCCTACTACGCAAACGACGTGAAGTCAGAGCCGCACCCCTCGCAGAGCATGAAGGTACCAAGCCAGAGGCTGCACGCCGAATCACAGATCCCGAGTCACCCCCACCGACCCGATGGGACCGCCAGGACGGGGCTGGGATCCAAGGGACGGAGACCCAGGGAGACAGAGAACCCCGCGACAGCAACCCATACGCCGATCCAGTGCCAGCACCCATCACAGAGAGTGAATATCAGATGCGCGACTTGGAGGCAGAACTTGCAAGTATCACGAACCAGTGCCAGCTAATGGGGAAGATAGAGCAAGAGAGGCGCACGGAAGCCAGGATCGAGGAAAAGCACGAGGCATGGGAACAGAGAGACTTGGCGCAAGTTGGAATATTGTCAATATTGATATCAGGAGGACGCTACGGACCAGGAGAACGCGATTACTGGACGGCGGCGACAGCGAATCCCAGCAAGCAGGAGTGGATCGAGTTCTGGCAGCAACCAGGAGGAGCAGGAGGCAGGGACGGCACCGAGCGAGACCATCGAAGAGATACCGCACAGCGCAGGAGAGCACGACCACTACGAGGACGACCTCGAGGAGAAGGTGGAGAGGATGACTACACGGATATTGCGAGGTCACTCAAACGAGCACGGCTGCGACGAGCAGCACCACCTACAGCAGCACCATCGGAGATTTGGCGACTACTTCTTTGCGACCACGACCGCGAACAATCACCGCGACAGCGACAAGGGCTTGGACACCACCACGACCACCGCGAACCCGAACACATTCAAGAATTGATCAAGGCAGGCCTGGCGGCCATCCGCATCCGCAATGTGACGCCACTCCGCTGGCACCAGAGCTCGGCGACCGCAGCCAAGAAGAACGCCAAGAAGAGCCCAGCAGGCAAGAGACTCCACCACATCATGGACTCGTTTGGCAAGGCGTACAATCCGGCAGGGATCCGACGCAAGAGCGTCAGGACCCACAGCGACAAGGACTATGGCTTCATCGAAGGCAGGCGCCGCGAGGGAGCGATCCTGACCATGGCGGTGGTGGAGCACAGGGCTAGACAGTCAGACTACAACTACGCGTCCACCATGAGGCACATGGCCAACGCCTTCGCGAGCTGCTCGTGGATCACCATGGGCGCCGCCAGCAGCAACAGCATGCCAGAGGACCTTTGGGACATAGGAGAGCAGCGCTACCGCAGGGCCACGTTCGAGATAGCGCGCAGGGACACGGAACAGGGCGCGTGCACCAAGCCCCACTGTGTAGGACACATCGGCGACCCGTACATGGTCAATAACTTCGTCGCCAGCTTCACACCGTGCGTACGCCGATGGGTCCGAGATTGCAACGAGACGATCATCCACGACAATCCAATTTACGGAGATAGCGAACTATGTCGGCATCCAGTCGGTGTGGGACTCACGAAGTACGCCGACGACCTGCGCAAGATGATCCTTGGAGGCAGGACAGCAGTCGCCCAGCACATAGCCGAGCAAGCCTACGCCGTAGACGAGAAGTTCTACCAACGCCCGGACGAGATCGGCCTCAAGCAGAACAAGGACAAGCAGGAGACCATCATCTACTTCCAGGGACCGGGTGCCAGCCAGGCACACCGCAACATCAAGAAGAACCCGCGGTGCAGACTACCAGGCAAAGTGGAGGAGGCGGCGAGGTACTTGGGCCCGTGCATCACAGCAACCCAGAACTACTAGCACGAGCTTCAGAAAAGAGTGCAGGCCATGAAGAAGAGCTACTACGAGTGCGTCGACTTCTGGACCAAGCGAGACACCCCCTACCGGTGGAAGCGAGCAGCCTTGACATGCAGAGTCATTTACACAGGCATGTCGTGCGTAGAACGTTTCCTGCCGATGCCGACGGAGAACCGCGCGCTGCAGAGCGCGATGGAAGCGCTCTTGAAGAAGGCGATGGCAGGCCGCGCGAGCACGCACCGAGCGGGCGGCACCGTCCGCAGCATGACGGCGCTGGAAGTCTTTCGCTACTGGCAAATACTGCCACCAGCGGAGGAAGCACTGCGCCGGGCCCGAGAACGAGAACGACGGAAACGAGCTGACGACACATGCGAACCCCTGGGCCCGTATAATCGCGAACGACATCGAGAAAGCGCGCCAAGTCCCAGAGAGATTCAGAACCATCTTCGGGGAGCAGGAGATCACGATAGGTCGGATGTTCAGGCAGGCGACGAGAGAACAGCTCCACCTCTTAGGTGTGCGTGAGGTTACAGCAGCTAAACTGACAGTGGCAATCCCCCGTCTGGACAGGCCCAAAACGACGAACTCATCGAAGATCTGGCCCTCCAGGATCTCCAACCTTGGAAGTGCGAGCTCAGGGATGGAGTGGCAGAGTGCGGACTCCTCTTCTCGAGCAAGAAAGCCCTTCACAGCCGCGTCGTGCGAAATCGCCAGGTTCATACTTTGGCGGCTCTACTAACTACGAACAACGAGCGCACCAATCGCTACCAGGTGTTTGAACGCCGCGGGACTGCAGGGAAACATCGAGCCAGAAGTATGATGACTGGGTATTTCAATCAAGCCCTGACGAGAAACTAGCGCCGCCCGTCGAAACCGAAAATCACGAGCCCGCTCTGCAGCCATCTGGCACTAGACAAGGGCCCCCTCTTTCAGCATCTCTGTGCGCACCTCCCGCGACCGCTTCTACGCCCGCGCAGAGCCGATGGCGCTCTTCGACCAGCGCCCGCAGTGGGCGCCAGCGGCGCCGGCAGCAACAGCAGGGGGATCGCCTCGCCCAAGCCGCAGTCGCCGAACGCGACGCCCGCTCGGAGGAGCACCCGCTGGACCAGCAGGAGGCGCAGCGCCCAACGACGCGCAGGCGGTGGACCTCGCGGCGCGCTCGGCGCTCACGTTGGCCAGGAAGCAGACAGAGTTAACGGCGGCGGTGATGCAGACGTGGGAGATCGACACGCGCAGCGGGATCGCCAAGGCAGCGCTGGCAGCAGGACAGGCGCACAACGAGCAGGCACAGGAACTACGACGCCGCGCGGGCACGGGCGAGCAGGTGGTCGCGGCATCGTTGGGCAGCCCGCGCATCCGCGTCTGGGCGGAGGTAGCGAACTACATAGCACGGGCCCTCGACGAAAGGCCAGAACGCGAGAACTTGGAGAAGTATTATCAGGGCGCAATGTTGTCTGGCAGCGCGGAGGCTGCGGCGGGCGGTACTCCATTTTTCAGGGCGCGCAGGAACAAGGGCAAATAGGGGGGAGCTCAGGAGCGATGCCGATTCCAGTTCTCGGTCAAGACCACGCAGCACCGGATCGGGACCACTCTCGCGCGCCAGGTGCGCAAGGAGGGGGCCATTCGCAAGACGGGATCGGCGCCGAGGGGGGCGCTGGAGCGCGAGCTGGGCCGCCTGATCAACGGCCAGTAGCAGAGGTACGAGACACAGCTCAGGGCGTAGTTCACCGCGAGGCGCCCCCAGGCAATCTGCCGCAGTGAGCGCGAGGCCGACGGCCACGAGAAAACAGCCCAGCTCTGTCCAGTTTCGAGGGCCGACGCAGCCCGTGCGATCCCGCAGGCCTTCAGAACTTGTGAGCGCTTCAGAATGCTAGTCAGGGAAGGCCGCTTCCCCACTCCTCCTCCGCCGACCGAGGCCCCCGACATCTACCAACTCCGAGGCCAGAGCGCCCCTGAGTATTATGTAGCGCGCCGACCTCCCCCCGCCCCGAACCGAAGAGAAAAGGGAAGGGGGAGGGGGGGGCCGAGCAGGGGGGAAGAGGAGCGAGCGAGAGGGCACTCGTAAAAGCGGGTGCTACCCTGCCCGCGACCCCCTGCGTGGGGGAGGTCGGCGCAGGTAGGGCCCGAGCGTCGGCTGGCGCCTGCGACCCCCTTTCATCAAGGACATCAGAGTTAAGCCACCAGGTTGTGTAAAGCAGCACAGAGCCCAGAGCGAGCGTAGCACCGAACTGGTCCGAGAGCTCGGTCGATCGATCCTCCTTCTCCTCCTCCTCCTCCTCCTCCTCCTCCTCCTCCTCCTCCTCCTCCTCCTCCTCCTCATCATCATCAGCATCATCATCATCATCATCCTCATCATCCTCATCCTCCTACATATCCTCCTCGTGGTGTTCTCCTACCTTCTTGCCTTTGTCTCCACACCTCCTGGACGCTTTTCCCATCTCCTGGGCCCCCTCCGTACCTTCCGTTCTTACGGGCGGTACATACGTCGGCGGGCCCCCGGCCGCTGCTCCAGCCCCTCCCACCTCACAGGCAGGCCCACCCAATCGAATCCTCGCCTGCCCCCAAATCGGGCCCGTGCGAGCGGCCAACCATTTCTGGGCCGCGACTCGTCGTACTCTCCCGTCGGAGTTGTCGTTGGTGTTGATGGGCCAATTCTCCACCACCACTACCGTATGTGGACGGGGGAGAAGGGAGGATGGGGAGGTCCTTCTCCTCCTCCCCCTCCTCCTCCTCCTCCTCCTCCTCCTCCCTTTCCTGCCTATGGTCATGGTGGTGGAACATTAGCAGGTGCCCAGCTGCCTCCAGCAAGTCCCGCCACCGCGCCAGCGCGGCACTCTGTGTGGCAGCGCTCCAGGCAACGCGCAGAAGGCCGTAGCATGTGACACTTGTCGTCTCTATCCCGTGTGTCGTCTGCGAGCGAGGGGGGAAGTGAGAAGGGGCGGGCCTCTTCAGGAAGTTTCGGAAGTCCCCCAGCTTTCTGAGAAGTGTGATTAGCCTTCCCCAAAGACAGAAACAAACACTGTCATAAGGCGCGAGGGTTTCTGAGAAGCCCCGCCACCCTTCTGAGAAGGCCTTCTCCTTTTCGCTTCCCCCCCTCGCTCGCCGCCAAGTGTGCGGTTTGCATGTGGCCTACTCGGGATTTCTTTGGGCGCGCTCCGCACAGAGTCGGCGCGCTCCGTTTGTTCCTGTCCCGGGGCCCAGAGAGGGCCCGCAGAGGCCGAAAATGGACCAACACTCTCCGCCGTGGGCCTGTCTCGACGCCGAGGAGGTTGGGGGAGGAGGCATGCAAAAGGAGGGAAGAGAGAGAGGGGAGGAGCAGGGCGAAGAGTAGAAGGGTATAGATGAGGAGGAGGAGGAGGAGGACAACGACCATTCCTGCCTGCGCCCCCCCCCCCCGCGTCGGAGAAACGTAAGAATCGAGTGCGCCGGAACTCGGGTTTGCCGACGCTTTTTGGCGAGCCCGCCCCGGATTTTGATGGTCCAGTTTGCGTGGGGTGTTTGCAGCGGGAGTTCGCGTCAAATGTCAAAGTGGGCCTTGTCATTTTCATGATTGCCCCGTCAGGCCAACCCGAGTCTGAGTGTGATGTAGTTCGCATCCCGGGGGCTCACTTCTGGAACATATTCGTGGACGACTGTCTCTTGATCTCAGCCAACGCTGGCAAAGAAGCCGTCCACTGGCGCCTCAACAGCTACCGTCGTGACATCACATGGGACACACCTGCATCCGGTAGGGGAGGCCTACAGTCGGCCCGGATTAGTAGGTCGACCCTGCCAGCTCAAGGGTACCCTTGTGTCATGTGCCTCACGACACGTGCCTCCCACATCCCCCATGGCGATGTGGCCCTCGGACGGGTCTCGTCTCCTCTCGCGTGTCCTGTCCAATCAATGCCGGCTGTACGATTTCTTGATCTCCGAACCCGGGTCTCGCGTCTTCCCCCCCCCCCCCCCCCGCGGCGCCCTCGCCGCGCGGCCGCCGCCAGCCCGCGCGCTCGAGCCCCTCGCGGACCTTCCGCGAGCAGGCGCCCCGCGTGCCGCCCGCCGCCGCGCCGGGGCCGCCGGCCAGCCGCCCGCCGCCGCGCCAGGGGGGGGGGGCCTCGCCGGGGCCCCGGGGCCCTTCGGGGTCGAGCCCAGCCAGGTGCGTGAAAGAGGAGGTCGGCCACGGGGGCAGAGGGGTGGGAGCAGGGCCATATGCTCACCTGGGCATATTTGGAGGAGGAGGAGGAGGAGGAGGGGGAGGAGGAGGAGGAGGAGGAGGAGGAGGAGGAGGAGGAGGAGGAGGAGGAGGAGGAGGGGGAGGAGGGGGAGGAGGAGGAGGAGGGGAAGGAGGAGGAGGAGGAGGAGGAGGAGGAGGAGGAGGGGTTGTGGCCGTCTGGACAGTAAGTGCAGCCAGCATTGGGGCGAGAGCCCGATTCCTGAGCAGGCCGTGAGGGAGCCTCGGGCGAAACGGCCGCTTCCTGAACATAGGGCGGTCTCGGGCTCCCCGTCCCCCCTGTGGGACTCGTGCGTCTGCTCGTCACGATGGGAACCTTCTAGCAAAACTCGATCAGGACAAAGCCACATGCTCCCTGGATGTTCAACGACAAGACTTGTTCGATCCTGGCGCTCTTCCTTGAGTTCGGCCTTCTGGGGCCCTCTGTCAAGCCCCCGGATCATCGAACACGGATCCTGTGCAAGACAGGGCTTGGGGGAAGGGATCGGGATCTCTGGACACCTGGGGCCGCGCATCGGGCAAAAATCGGGTGCCCCACCAGAAGACGACGCAGGACGACCCGGGGGTCCCCCCGAGCGGTGCAGCGACCACACCGCGTGGCGAGTCGGTGTGGACTCGGGGTGGCCCCACGGCTTTGGGACGTGGGTCAGTCTCCGGGGACGTTTCCAGCGACTCGGGCCTCCAGAGTGAAACCTCCCTATCTTCGGGTTGACCCAAGAGGGGTCCAGCGACAAGGGGGTTGGTGCAATAGATTTGGTGTATCAGATTTGTGGGATTGCAATACACTTGGGGCGTGCAATACATTACTTGTGATACAACGCAATACCATTCTCCAGCGCAACACATTTGCAAGACAACTGCCCCAAATATTTTGCACCAACCCTCTTTCGGGTCACCCAAGTATCTGCTTCCTCTTGCGAAGGGAGCACGGCGGACGGTCCTTTGGGAATCAGGCTGCGAGGGCCCCGACCGCTCCCCGAGGCCGTCGGCAAAGCATCCCGGCATGGACACGTGGGCATGGGGGAGGGGTCTGGGCCTTTTAGGGGGCCCGTGCTGTGAACACGTGGGCGACGTCGGAGAATCTGGGCAGAGCTGGTCGTCGTCGTCGTCGGAGATGCTGGGCGGCGGCGGCGGAGATGTGCGGGAGTGCCCCGGGGTCCAGGACCCGTTTCCCGCATGACCCGTCTGCCTGGCACCAAGCAGGGCTCGGGGGCGGCAAAGAGGGGGGTGATGACTAGGGGGGGGGGAGATCATGGCGTGGGCCATGATATTTCCCAAGATTTCATGGCGCCTCTTCTTATTTCATTCCGTCCCTGGCACCCCCCCTGAGCCGCGCACATGCCGCCGGCCATGATTTGCGCCCCCCCCCCCCTCTTGGACGCCCCTCTTGCACGCTCCCGAAAGCAGGGTTGCGGGAGGTGCTTCTCTTCTGCTGTTCTCGCGGCCGCGGCCGGGCTCGCCTCGAGGCCCTGGCGGTCCAGGGGTCGACCTTGAGAGGAGGAGGGAGGCGGCTTAGGGTTAAGTCGGGCCTGTCCGTCTACAGCAGGGATATTCAAAAAAAGTCAAAAATAGCCTTGGGACGACGTTTCAACTATTGTTGAGCATTTTTTTGCGAATATTTGTCTGCGTATTTTTGATTTTTCGCCCAGAATCTCCCAGTAGGGGGACAGGCCCGACCTAAGCTTAGGGGGGCGAGGGGGAGAGCGTTTCGTTTCCCGATGCGTCCCGCCTCGATCTCTCTCTCTCTCTCTCTTTCCCTCTCTCCCTCTTCGGGCCTGCACAACACAGATGGCGATCGTTTTGCTCTCCTCGAGGTCGTATATCACATCACTGCCGTCGGATGCTATTCATCCCGCGCACATGACCGACACAGGAGATCGAGATGAAAGCGTAGTCGTGAGTTTGTGTGAAAGCATGCCCGCTCCTGGAAATTGATATGCTCCGCTCGGCTCCCGCCGTCCCCCTTCCCCCTCCTTCCAATCCCTACATCCAGCGCCCTTCCTCTCCCTATCCTCTATTCCCATACCCCCCTCTGTCTCCCTCGTCCTCCTACTTCTTTTCTTCCTCATCTTCTTCAACCTCCTCATCCTCGTCATCTTCATCATCAGCATCATCATCATCCTCAGCACGCCTCCATCCTCCCCGCCCCCCCGCCCCTTGGCCGCTTCCAATATTGGGGCTCCTTGGGCTGGCCGCCCGGGCCTCCAAGATGGCCGAAAAGGCGCCCAAGAGGGCTCCATGGCGTGCAGATAAGTTGTCAGGCCATGTCGGACGTGTGGCATCCCAACCACGCCCGAGGTATCGGCCTCCTCTTCCTCCTCCTCCTCTACCTCCTCATCACCATCATCATCAACACCATCATCAGCATCATCATCTTAATTAGCATCAGCATCAGCATCAGCATCAAGATCATCGCTAGCATCGATATCATCATCATAACCATCAGCATCAGCATCATCATCATCATCCTCATCATCATCAGCAGCATCAGCATCAGCATCAGCATCAGCATCAGCATCAGCATCATAATCATCATCATCATCATCATCATCATCATCATCATCATCATCATCATCATCATCATCATCATCACCATCATCATCATCACCATCACCATCACCATCACCATCATCATCATCATCGTCATCATCATCATCACCATCATCATGCTCCGCCTCCTCCTCCTCTTTACCCCCTACCCACCCCGTGTACCCTTCTCTCCCCTGCCCCTCCGCCCCTCCTCTTCCTCTGCCTCTTCTTCTCCCCTTCCTCTTTCTCTCCTCTCGTCCGCCTTCTCCATCTCCTCCTCCTCCTCCTCCTCCTCCTCCTCCTCCTCCTCCTCCTCCTCCTCCCTCCTCCTCCTCCTCCGTCCTCCTCCTCCTCCTCCTCCTCCTCCTCCTCCGTCCTCCTCCTCCCCTGCTCCCACCTCCCCTGCCCTCCCTGTGCCCCTCCCGTCGCCGATGCTCCGCCGCCCCCCCCCCCCCTTCCTGCCCTGTCCCCGCAGGGCCCGCCCCGCGCCGTGGGTTCCAGAGGGGGCGGCTGGGCCAGCATAGACGAGCCGGAGCGCGAGGCCGCGCACTTCCCTCTAGCGCTGGGAGGGGGGAAGATGGGGAGGAGGGCGAGGACGGGGAGGAGGAGGAGGAGGAGGAGGAGGAGGAGGAGGAGGAGGAGGAGGACGAGGAGGCGGAGGAGGCGGAGGAGGAGGAAGAGAAGAACAAGAACAGGAATAAGAGTAATAATAAGAATAAGCAGAAGAAGAAGAAGGAGGAGGAAGAAGGAAGAGGAGGAGGAGAACGAGGAGGAGGAGGAGGAAGAGGAGCTGTAAGAAGAGGAAGAGGAGGAGGAGACAGGGGCGGCAAATGACATTCGGAAGTTTTCGCAAAGGGGCCAGGGCGACGGGGTCTGGCAGGCAGTAGGCGGCGGCGGCGGAGGGACTCAGAAGAGGAGGAGGTACCAATACGATCGCTGCAGCAGCCGCGCTACGCGAGCGCCCTGGGAGTCCCGAAAGTGAAGTCATCCACTCGCCTCCTCTCCTCCGCCTCCACAACCTCCTTTTTCATCCGGGGAGGAAGGGGCACCGACGCCGCGGCTCGTCCCGCAGAGCCCTCGTCGCCACGGCTGGATTCTCCTCGAAACTTTGGTTCTGCACGAACGACATGGGCACGGAAAGAATGGGCACAATGCCCAACAGCGGATCTGGTTCATTTTGAACAGGACTCGCTGTCCACGCCGCCGCTGCCTGTGTCCATTCGAGACAGAAGGCTGCCTGCCCAACAGCGGCCGCTGTGGGTTTGGGACAACACTTGTTGTTGGGCACTGTACCCCTTCTTTCCGTGCCAATTTCGGGCGTCCAAATTGGTCGGAGCGTACCTTCCCTGCCCGACGCCTGCGCCTGTGGGCTGGCGACGTGCGGCCAGCAGCGAGGCTGGGGGGGCAGGCGCGCCTCCGAGGCGCCGAGGGCGGGCTCGTTGCCGACAGTGTTTCCTCGACCCTCCTCCTCCTCCTCCTCCTCCTCCGTCCTCCTCCTCCTCCTCCTCCGTCCTCCTCCTCCTCCTCCTCCTCCTCCTCCTCCTCCTCCTCCTCCGTCCTCCTCCTCCTCCTGCGTCCTCCTCCTCCATGGTCGGGTCTAGTTTGAGCTCGCTCGTGCTAGACCTCTGCGCGAAGCCTGCGAAACCTGTCCCCCCACGGATGTCAAGGCCACCCGCTGGGGGTGCAAAAATCACCGCGCCTCGCGCATCGCGCCTTGGACCGCCGAGGTGCCCGGGGGTCTGGGTAAAGTGCCCCTCTAGGGCCCCGCCTGGAGCCAGCAGGGGCCCATAAGGAGCCCTCCAGGGCCCTCTCTCATAACCCGCCATGTAGGTCACCTTCCATCCCAGACCCCCGATGTCCTGACTGTTTCACAACGTCGGCCCCCAGGAGCCTGGACCCCTTCCCGGGACCGGTATTTCATCCTGAGCGATGTTTGACAGTCCCGAGCCCCGGCGACGGCCCCAGGAGGCCGAAAATAGCGAACAACTTCTGTCCTGATGCTGTCGCGACGCGAGGAGTTCTGGGTAGGAGGCCCGTTTCCTCCATTAGCCAGGAGGCCCGTTTCCTCCATTAGCCATTTGCCCACCTCACGCGAGAAAATGAACGTGTGCTCGTGAGCTGACCGGGCGGGTGGGCACTAGGTTGTGCGCTCCCCGTGGCGACGGCGGTCCGGGGGGGGTGAGCCTCAGGTGGCTGCGGGCGCAGCTTCCTCAGCAGATGCAGTCAGCGTTCGCAGGAAAGCAGGGGAGGGAGTGGAGGCGAGGGGAGGGTTGTGGGGCTTAGGGGGCCCCGGAAACAGCAGGGCCGATATATCGCCGTTTGATAACATTGTTTCTAGAGCATGAAACTAGCTCAGACATAACATGCACGAAGCGGTCCTTGGAAACTGGGATTGGAACGGGAACCATAACCATACACCAAGAACGACGACGGGAATCTGAAACAAGTAGTGTCGGAACCAGAAAAAAACAAACTCCAAAACGGAACCGGTCCAAAAATAGTTGCCCCGTCGTTGGCGGCAGCCGCTAAGGTGCAGGGAGCACGGCAGGGAACGCACGGGGCGCAGGGATGAGGTCATGTCGCGCTTGCGGCCGCGTCGGCCCATGGGCACGCGCACGGCATGCGCGCCCGTGTTTTTGATTTTGGCAGCAGCCGACAGGCGCAAGAGGGCGGGGCCGGGGGGGTTCAGGGACGGCGATGGTTGATCCATCGTTCCGTTGGGTGCTGAAGCTAGGACGAGGCAGGAGAGCCAGAGCCACGCGTGAAGAGGGGCAAGAGGGCCCCCCCGACCATCTCGGAGCCTCGGGCAGGGCAGCGTGCACCGCCCCAAGCTCCGTGGCACGGGGCTGCTTTGCGCGCTGGTCTTCGCCAGCTTCCGTGCCAGCGCCTGTCTGCTCACAGGGGGCGCACGGGGAGTGGGAGAGAAGGCGGGGGGGGGGCAGAGGTGGCCAGAGGGAAGACTCTTGCACAGATCGTGTGCCAGTGGTGGAGCTCTCTCCCTTCTTCCCTCGCGCGGCCGCCATCGTCTTCGTCCCTCCCTCTTGCACGCCGGACAATTTGCCGATCGGGTGCCCCACGCTGGTGCGGACTGCCTTTGCCTCGTCGCCGACGAAAAGAAACAGTGGTGGCTTCGGGACGGGGTTGGAAGCCCGCGCCAATTTTGAAAGACTTTAGCTGGACAGGAGTCTCCAGCATTAGTACCTAAGCACCTTTGAGAGGAGGGGCTGTAACAAAAAAACAAAGAAGCAACAACAAATGAGAGGAAGGGCTGGCAGGAAGGAGTGGCAAGGGCGCGACGAGGAAGGCAGAACGAGTTGGAAGACCTTCGCTTGGGAGCTTGTCTGACCTCGCCCTCGCCCCGTTGCCACCGTGCCTTCTGGCCCGCGCCCCCCCGACCCGAGAAATCGCGGGCGAGGGCGAGGAGGGCGTCTGACCCGACCTCTCGATCTTCCCGTCCTGACTATGGCGTCCACTGTCTTGAATACACCCATCGGTCGTTGAAAAAATGTATTCTTGGAGTCCCAGGTTCCAAGATACTGTAAGCGCCTCCCTACTTCAATGATCGAGTGGCTTCACCTGTTCCGTTCTCTTTAGGGCGGCGGGCGGACACCCAATCAATTTTCAACGCCTTAACATTTCATGTTTCTACCCACTTCTTTCCACCGATAGATCATCTGCCTATCTCTTCGCTTTGTAGTAGACACGCCGGATAAGAGGCCAGCCTGCAGCAGGTGCCCCACGGACGCGTCGTGTCCCCGGAGGACCCTGGGGGGGATCCCGCTGAAGCCTTGGGGCACCTCAGGAAGTTCAAAGCTCACAGCTCTGGAACAATCTGCCTAGCTCTTCTCAGGAGGGAAAAAAGCACACAGACAGAAGTGATCGTCGACTCACAGGAAAATATGGGAAACTATGAGAAGTGGGGGTGAAGACGAAAACCCAAGGAAACGATTGGAAAATATAGGGAATCCAGGGATTTGTGTATAATTATCTGTGTGTCCCTGGGCCCCCTTCCTCCTCGCCCTGCAGTAGACACGCCGGACAAGAAGCCAGAATGCAGCAGGTGCCCCGCGGACGCCGCCTGTCCCTCGAGGACCCCCGAGGGTGGGGGCCCACGGAGGCCCCGGGGCACCTCGGGAAGCTCTCGAAGCTTCACGGCCGACGTGCCTTTTTTGTTGTTTCCTGCGACAAGGCAGCCCTTCGCACGTGTCTGGTGCAGGCCTTCGTCTGGGATGTCCCCAGACCCGTCGGGCACTGAACGTTCCAGACTGTCGGCCTCTGGAGGCCCTCACCGGCCCGCGGGGCCGTCAATGAACGACTCAGGATGAAATACAGGTCCCGGGGAATGAGCCGAGACCTCTGAGGGTCGACGCTGTGAACAAATCATGACGTCGGGGGTCTGGGTCGTTGGGTTCTCGGCCAGTCCGCGGGGAGCGCCAGGTGGACCCCAGAGTCGGCAGCCTCCGCAGCACTTTGCTGTCCAGCCAGGACCCAGGGCTTCGCCCGCATCTGGTGCCCGGCCTTCGGCTGCACTAGCAAGTCGGACTTGCCCGTTCCCACGCAGCCGTTGCTGGCTCAGGCGCTCAAGCCCGCAGGCCTGGCGGGCGTCCGTGCTCCTCCGATACGCGGCGGCGCGCAGAAGGTGGTGTCGCGAAGGAGTGGCCCTACTGTCAACTCGCTTAGTAAGGATGGGCAGCCTTCCCAAAGGTAAACCTGCATCCGTGCTTCCTTGCCCCATCCTTCGCCATTTTCGTTGGCCGCGTTCCGCTCGAGAAGCTTCCAAGTGGCCTTCTAAGGCCCGCGCATCCTTATCACGCATCCTCATTATACGGGTTCACCGTATCAGAAGGATTTGTTTTGGAGCGAGCCGTCTCGCGCGAAAAGTCAGAGAGGCTGAGCGCTTCGACCCCCAGGGGCGCTCTTCGGGCCAAATTTTGCCCACGGTGCAGCATCGAACGAGCCTCGTCGACGATGGGGAGGCTGGGCGCTTCGACCCCCAGGGGCGCTCTTCGGCCTAGATTTTGCCCACGGTACAGCATCGAACGAGCCTCGTCGACGATGCGGCCCCAGAGGCGGAGCGTAGGCGGAGCGGGCCCTCCAAGAGGGCTGGGGTGCTCCCCAGGATCGAGGAAGAAGAAGAAGAAGAAGAAGCGGCGCATACGCACATATGTTCGGAGGCCCGCGCGGATGTTCCGGATCAGCGCCAGACCCCCTTGGCGGCGCCTCCAGCAACGATGCAAGGAATCCGCGCGGACCGCCGAAAGGTCAGCGTGTGCATGTGCGTGTCCTCTTCTGTAGAGCCCCCCGACCCCCTCAGAGAGGGGGCACTCTCGGAAGCCTCTGGCTGCTCCTAGAAGGGCACCGTCCTGCCTCAGAGCACCCCGCCCCCCCCCTGTACTCTGCCAGCTCGCAACTTTGTTCTTTGAAGGGCGAGTGCGTCGGGAGCCCCACAGGCGCCACGCGAGTGCACCTTTCCAGGGTTGGGTCGGGGCTCTGGCCTAAGGTGCTCTCTCGAAGAGAGGGAGGACAGCCAGAGGCCTCGACGTGCAGTACTTGGTACTCAACGCGACGCGTTTTATCCATCTCCATGCTCATTTCCCCCCTTGTCTCCACCCCCTCGTCTTGCGCGCCGCCGAGATACCGACAAGCCCGCATGCGCGCCTGACAGCCAGCGGCCCAGACGTCGGCGGTTGCCAGAGGTGGGCCGGAGGGGAGGGGGGAGGGGGCGTCGTCATCGTCATCGTCGTCGTTGTCGTCTTCTTCATCCTCCTCCTTCTCCTTCTTCTCCTCCTCCTCCTCCTCCTCCTCCTCCTCCTACTCTTTCTCCTCCTCCTGGACCCAGAGGTGTACCCCTGCTCTCTTCTTCCGCCCCAGATGTCCCGACCCCCTCTCCGCTTCTCGTCCCAGATGTCCGTGGTCGACGGCCTGGGGCCCGATCTGGTGCCGCATGGAGCCGAGGTCGAGGCAAGAGCACAGAGATTGAAAAAGTCGAGGCCTCCGTGATGGGGTCGGAGCAGATGGGGTCGGAGGGTCGCGTCGCCTCGGCGATGCGGTGCCGACGCGGCTCGAGTTGGAGCCCGTTGTTCTCCACGCCGACGGCGCTGATGTATCCTTGACGTCGCTGGTGCATCGCCAGTGCACCGCCGATGCATCGCCGATGCGTCGCCGATGCATCGGGGATGCGGCGCGAGCCTCCGACGCCGTCTGCTCCGAAACCATCCAGGAGCCCTCTAAAAGCAGATCGCCGGAGATTGAAAACCTCGGTCGCTCCCGGCTCTCCGCGCCACTCCGGAGCCCCCCAGGGGACCCTCCGGGCCTCGCGATGGGGGGGGGCTCTGGCGGCCGCCTGGGCGCTCCTGGAACGGCTAGGGCCACGCCAGACATCCGGCGGGTTGCTGTCTTCCAAGCGCGGCCCTCGGAGATCTGTCGGCCACGCGCAGGAGTGACCTCGTGGTGCGGGCGCGCTTGGGCGCCCAGATGCCTGATCGCGATGCGAGAGCAGCGGCTTGCGCGCTCGGGTTTGGCCTCCCCGCGCCCACCCGAAAGCCGCGCGCCGAAAAGCCTCTCCCCTGCCTGGGGCCACTCCTGCGTGCAGCCGACCGGGTCCAGGCCCGCCTTGGGCCCGGGCACGCTCCCCAGAGACAGACTGGGGAGGCACGTGCGGCAGGTTCGCGGCGGCGTGTCGACCGGCGGCGACCCCAGCGCGGGCGCTTCAGGTGGAACGCCGCGCCACTGGCCCAGAGTCGGCCCATCCTTGAACGACCCGGCCTTTTTGAAAGGGCTGCTCCTTGAATGTGTGCAGGATCCCCCGCGATGTCAGGAACCAACGCCAGAGGGTCGACACGACGCGAACCTGCCGTAATTATACACCGGCCATGCTTCTCCAGGCCAGGAAGGGGGCGGGGCCGTGCAGATCTCGCCGCCCGGCTCCGGGGCAGCGCCAGGCAGATGAAAGCCGCCGCCTGGCTGGCCGCGCTGGCCGCCGCGCGGGCGGCCTCGGCGCTCGGGCTGCGGCCCGGCCAGGCGCTCCCCGCGGCACCGGCGGCGCCCGGCGGCTGCGACCTGTGCGGGGGCAGGCAGCAGTGGCTCTTCATCATGGCCACCGGGAGGACCCCGGCGGGCGAGGGCCCGCGAGCTCCGGCGGCGTGTGCCTCACCACGCTGGCGTGAGGTCGGGCACGTCCCTTTGCAAGAGGACTGGATATTCAAGAATAGCGTGGGTGTTTTTCTCTGTCTTCCACAAAGGTCGGGGGCAACGATAGGGGGGGATGGGCATAGGGGGGGATGCATCGACCCCCAATCGCTCATTGATCGCCGATCGGGGCCCGATAGCTCCAACCTGCCCAGGAGGGTGCGGATTCACGATCGGAGGCCTATCGCCGATCTATCGGCGATGTATCGCCGATTCCAGGTCGATGTTTCCCCCCTTGTCCCTATCCCTCCCGATCGTTGCCCCTCAAAAGGCATCACGAGTCATGGACTCTTTTTGTTCTCTCTTCCAGAAGCCGCCCGCAGAAGGGCATGCCCGACCTGATGCTGGAGCTCCGTTCCTCGGTCTCCGCTTGTATGACCCGTCATCGGGCCCCCGGACAATGAAACATTTGCTGGGAGCGGCAAAAGTGCCGCCGGGAGCATGGACGGGACGTCTGGGGCTGCGCATTGGGAAATTTCCATCGTGTGACGTCCTGGGGAGGAGGACCGAAGGACCGAAGGATGCGACCCGATTCGCTCCGGTCAGATGCACCGCCGATCTGACTTCAAGTTTTCGATACGAGGGCTTGGTGGGCGGGATGAGGATTGCACTGTATTGCTGATGCCCTTGAGGGTAATCCAGCCGATTCGGGAGGGGCATATGGGCTCCCCCTCCTCGGATGGCGGTGTTCGTGCAGGTCGGGTGGGCAGTCCTCAGCTCTGGCCGCTGGGGCTCATCCCATGCGGCTTCCACAGCGACTCGGGATCAGGAGCTGGTCCCGGGGGGGTCCGGGGAGAGACCCGCGGTCCAAGAGGGGAGGGGGCGGGGGCGGACTAAAAAGAGGCAGGGAGTAATAGAAAGAGGGAGGATCAGAAAGACGAGCATCGGGCTGGGAGGATGGGGCTGGGAGACGGGATTCGAAGAAGAAGAAACGCCATAAACATAAACTTTTTGCGCTCCACACGGGTTTCTTGGATCCGCGCTGGGCCCCCCCGGCAGCGCCCCCAGCGCCGCCCCTGGCGCGCTCCGCTTCCCAGGGAGGGGGGTTCCAGCGCAGATCCAAAAAGTCAGTGCGAAGCGCCAGAAGTTTATGTTTATGGCGTTTCTTCGTTTCCGTCTACAGTGGGGGCCCATGCCACGGAACACCCTGCTTGCCTCCAGGTGTCCCTGGATTTCTTGGGGTTCGATGGTTTTGTTATGGAAAGCGTGACGCTCCCACACAAAAAATGAATGAACGTCCTGGGGTCTCAGGGTTGGGTGTCTTGCGGAAGGTTTCTTGTGGATTGGCCTCCCTTGAAATGATCGGGTCATCTCTATGATCGGGTGTGTTGAGTGGGCTACCTGCACGGCCGCGCCCCAGCGGCTGGGGCCCTTCATCGCTTCCGAGCTGAAGCCTGCCGCGGCGGCGCCGGCGGGTGACGGCGAGCTGCCGGGGGCGGGGGCGGGGGCGGATGCCGCCGCCAACCCCTTGAGGTCTGCTCGGGGATGTGCGTCCTCTTTCCTCGGATGCTGGGCCCTCGTGGTCCACCTGGGCTCTCAGCTCCTGTGCTCGCGTGCTCCTCCCAATATGGTCATTGCCTTTCTCGGAAAGGGGGGCGAGAAGGAGGAGGAGGAGGTGGAGGAGGAGGAGGGCCAACGCCCCCCCTCTGCTGTTCCCCCCGCGGTCGCCCGCCTCGCGAGGAGCGGCTCCACGACGATGCTGGAGATGCTCAACGCGGTCCCCGGGTTCTACCTGGCAGGGGAAAACTACGGCCTCCTGGAGAAGGCTCGACTTACGGTCGGACCGAGGCACAAGATCGGGGTCGTCTCGGGGAGGATGCCTTGATGCTCTTCGTGCTTGCTGGATGTCCTTGTGCTCCCTGGGGGAGGGTGCCCTCGGACGTACCCTGTGCTCCCCGGGGGAAGGTGCCCTCTTGCGGAGTGTTCTTCTGTCCCAGGTCCGACCGTACACCTTAGGCGATGCTTAAGAAAACCTAAGTTTTCGGCCAGAGTCTCGATTATTCTTAGCGTTTCAATGTAAATCTTAAGATTTTAACAGGAAGGTTGGGTTTTTTTCAAGTTCTGAGACTATGAATTTCTTAACCCATGATTTCTTCAGCATTTCGCAGGGTGTACACAAAAGAGTGACTCTTCGCTGGACTGACCTTTGGTGCGGGCCCACCAGGGCCCCTCGATCGCCGAACGTGCTGCGATAACAGTGGCCTGCGCGCTCGGGATTGGCCCGCCCACGCCCCCCCCGAAAGCCGCGCACCAAAGGCCACTCTTGCCCAGGGTCACTCTCGCGTGTAGCCGAAAGGTGTGGCAAATCTACGAGTCGACCATGAACGCATCGCAGCGTGTCGAGGACGGAGACGCGAGGTTTCACGCAAACCCTGTGTCTGAGCACAGCCTTCTGTGCTCGCTGCAGCTGCTTGTGAAGGCAACCCTCGGCGAATTTGCCGCAGATCGGACGTCGGTGGTGGGATTCAAGGAGATCCGGCACACATCGGGGAAGCAGCGCACCTTTTGGAAGAAGGTCTTCCCGTGTGCTCGCTTCATCGTCAACACGCGCCGGAACACCACGAGGCAGCACAACTCACAGTTCCAGAAGTTTCTGTCCCTCTCCAGCCTCGAGGCCTATACGAGCGACCTAGAGCAATGGCAGGCGCGCCACCCAGAGTACGTGCACAAGCTGCAGCTCGAGAGCTACTCCGTGGGCGGCTTCAACCAGCTCCTGAGCAGGCTCGGGGTCTTCGGCTGCAACTTCACCGACATGGCATGGGCGAACAAGCGGGGCGATTGGAGGGGTGACGACACCCACGCCCGGGTCAGCGGCAATTGCCAGATAACCCGCTGGGACACAACTGGAATGGATTCGCTAGGTCCGCAAGATCTTAATACGACGGTGCTGTGATTTCGCCGCTGCTTGCTCGCACGGTCTTAGGCCGGCTTTCGTTGCGCGGTGCAGAAATGTTCGGTATTTCATGTGGCCGCTTGTCCTCCCCCGCCTCCCCTCTCACACTTCCCGTCCTCCTCAGCCTGCTTCTCCTACACCTTCTCCAACGTCTCCTCCTCATACTTATCCCTCGTCCTCCTCCTCCTCCTCCTCCTCCTCTTCCTCCTCTTTCTCCTCCTCCTCCCGGCCTCCCTGGCCTCCTTCTCCCCCTCCGCCGCCTCCGCCTCCCCCTCCTCTGCATCCTTCTCATCCTGAACAATTCGTCAATTTGATTTCTACCATCCTCTCTCCCCTGATCCAGCCCGAGCCTGACAGGATCTCTCCCGCATTCTAACACGACCGTTTAGCGTGTAAGATTTAAAAAGATGGTCTTGGATATGTGTTGTTCCATCGGAGCGTTTCCAGTTGTTAAACACAGCGTCCCCGCTTCAACGCTGGCTTCGTTTCAAGATCGGCGCGTTACTCTCGACGTTCAAAACGGCGCTCTCGCCCCAAGTTCTTCATCGTTGCTGTCGCCCCCTACGTCTCCCTCCTCCGCCTTCTACTGGGTCTTCTGCTCCTCCCGCTCCGCATGCTCCTGCTCCTGCTGCAGCTGCTGTTCATCCTCATTTGATTCCTCCCGCGCATCCTCCCGCTGTGACACAGTCGCGGAGGGGAAAGTACGGGGAAGAAAACCGACGGTATAGTTCTTGTCCCTTCTGAACAGGGTTCGATGTGGGTGTCGCCGCGGGCATTGCCCGCCTGGAGCAAACCACGCCCGCCAGGACCGCGGCCGCGGTCGATCTGGGGCAGCATCTGCTGCCGGCGTCGTCCCCCCCACTCTTGCGCGATCGATGGGGGGGCAACGAGGGCTGCTGAAAAGGGGCCCTCTATGGGGCCCCATACAGGGGCCCTCTAGGGCCCCGAAGGGGGGGGGGGGGCCTTTACGGCCCGCGAAGTGCACCCTTCTTCCTGCCCCCCCTCCCTCCAATTTTCGCCCTCCCCCCCCCCCACACACACGCGACGGAGCGAGGAAAGCAGACCCGAGCCGAGAGGAGAGCAGAGCCGACGCGTGTCCCAGTGAGCCCCCCCCCCCTCGGACGTGCAGACCGTTCCCGCCCCCCACCTCGGGCGCGCGAGCCCGCTGCTCGGCCCACCACGCGCGCGGTCGACGTCGCCTCGCCCCCGCGACGGAGCCGCGCGCGGGCAGGCGGCGGGCCCGGGGAGGGCAGGCCCCGGAGGGCACGAGGCAGGCGGGGGGGGGGGGGGGGGCAGACGCCCAGGCACGGGGCAGGGCCCCAGGCAGGAGGGCCACGGGCCACGCGACCGCGCTGCGCGCCGAAGGCCGCCCCTGCGGGGGCAGAGGGCGGGCCGGGGAGGGCGCGCGCGCAGCAGGGGCCGCAGTAGGGGCCCGGGGTGTGCACGGCAGCAGCGCGGCAGAGGAACAGCAGCCGCACGGGCCTCCTCCTACTCCTCCTCAGGCCTCCTCCTCCTCCTCCTCATCCCTTCCTCCCTTCCTCCTCCTCTTCCCCCTCCTGCTCCTCCTCCTCCTCCTCCTCCTCCTCCTTCTCCTCCTTATCCTCCTCCTCCTCCTCCCTTCCTCCTCCTTTCCTTCTCCTCCTTATCCTCCTCCTACTCTTCCTCCTCCTATCCTCCTCCCTTCCTTCTCCCTGCTTCTCCCTACGTGGGGGAGAAGCACGGCGGCAGCGCGGCAATGAGGGTAGGCTGGCAGGCCAGAGGGTGTGGGCTTGCCTTCTGTCATTACGCTCGTGCCCGTGCACGCTGCGGCCACGGACGTGTCCGGTTGCCCCAGCTGTGCCAAGAGGAGGCAGTTGGAGGGGGCAGCAGCTCCGCAGGGGGCAGCAAGACATCGGGGAGGCAGAGGCGGCGAGGGGGAGAGGGCAGCCGACCCATTCGCTCCCTTGTGCGGTGCGGTTTGGGAGATCGATGTTTTTACGCCGGCTGGGGCCACTTCTTCACGGGCCTGCCCCAACTGCAGCACCCGAGGTAGCGTGCCGTCCACCGCGGGCGCCCCCCAGCAGCACCCAGCGGACAGACACCGCGGTACTCCCTGCAGAACTCCTGGCGCTGGATGCGCGTGCCGGCGCAGGCCTCCGGCGGGCAAGCCAGCGTGGTTTCGCCCCTCCCGCTCGGGAGGCTGGGGGCGAGGGAGGGGCCAGGCCGCCTCGAAACCACGGGACTGGCGGAGCACACCGCCTGCCACGCGCGCCATAGGGCCCAATGCCCAGAAATGGTTCCAGACACCCTTGGCGTGGCGGGAGGTGACGACCGCGGTATGGCTCAGACGGCGCATGGGGCGCCGCGCTGGGCGCCAGCAGGGCCGCCATCTGCTCACGAAGCCGCTCCGCTACCGCGCGCCGGGCAGCCCGCGTGATTCGTGGAACGTCTCCGCTGCGACGCAGGGGCGCGGCAGGCATTCCCCCCAGTCCACGGCCGACAGGTCGCGCGCCAAGTGCAGCGGGGCGATCCCGAAGCTCATGGCATGACGATGGCGCCCGCCTTTCTCACTCCTCCTGCTCAGCCTTCTCCCCTCCCCCCACCCTCCTATCCCGCCTGCTCTTCCTCCCCCTCTCCTCGCCCATCAACTCCTCCTACTCCTCCTACCTTCTCCTCCTCCTCCTCCTCCTCCTCCTCCTCCTCCTCCTCCTCCTCCTCCTCCTCCCCAATCTCCTCCGTCCCATCTCACCTTCTCCTCCTGCATTGTTGCTGTTCCTCCTCTTCCCTCTTGTCCTCATCCAACGGCTACGCGGTCGATGACGCCGCTGGCAAAAATAAAGACGCCGCCGACGCCGCCGACGCCGACAACGACGACGACGACGACGACGACGACGACGACGACGACGACGACGACGACGACGGCGGCGGCGGTGGCGTTGGCGGCCGCGGCGGCGACGACGCTGAGGACGGCGTCAGCGGCGACGTCGTCGTCGGCGTCCTCGGTGGCGGTCGTCGTCTTCGTCGTCGTCGTCGTCGTCGTCGTCGTCGTCGTCGTCGTCGTCGTCGTCGTCGTCAGCGCCCTCGGCGTCTTCGGCGTCGTCGCCGCAGCCGCCCGGCGGAGGCGCCGCGGCCCATCACCGGCGGCGCCGCCGGGCTGGCCGGCGGCGCGCCTCTGGCGCAGCGGGGCGCCGCGGGCCCCGCGGGCTCCGCGGCGCGGAAGGCGGCCTTCGGCGGCGGCCCCTCGGCGGCCCTTCGGGCGGCGGCCCGTCGGCGTTGGCCCCATCAGGCGGTGGCTCCTCGGGCGGCAGCGGCGGCGTCGTTCGCGTCGTCGTCCCGACGCGGGCGCCCTGCCGCCCAAAGGGGGGGCACGAGGAGGAGGAGGAGGAGGAGGAGGAGGAGGAGGAAGAGGAGGAGGTGGAGAAGGAGGAAGAGGAGGAGGAGGAGGAGGAGGAGGAATAGGCGGAGGGAGACTGGAGTAGCTGGAGGAGCAGAGGGGATGGTGAGGAGGATGAGGAGGAGGAGAGGAGGGGAAGCGGGAGAAGGGGGGGTGGCGCCGGAGGAGGAGGAGGGAGCAGGAGGGAGGAGAGAGGCGGCGCAGGGGGAACGGGAAGTAGGAGGACGAGGGGAGAGGACGACGACGGCCTTTACATTTTTCTCGCTTTCCTTCCTGCTCCCCTGGCCCTCCCCCTTCTCCACGCCGGCCTCTTTCCCCCGCTCTCTGCCTCCCCTTTGTCCCCCCTGAGTGGCTCAACGGCCCCTCGGCCCGAAGGCCGATCCCACTGGCTGAAGACGCTGGTGCGAAGGCGATCCGAGGAATCAGCCCGAACAGAGGCAACGCAAACATCACGCGACAAGCTGTCGGAACCTTCGAGAGCAGACGGGGCGCGGCCTTAAAGGGTAAAAACAAACAGCGTGGCACAGAGTAGTTTGAAGGACAGGCGCGGTGGCTGACATCGGCTGTTTGTTCTGGCGCTTGCGCCCCCCCGCAACGCAAGCTACACAAATCCTCTCCAGTTCCCCATTGCCCCTATCGACAACCCTCCTCCTAGTTTATCCAACCGACATCTATGTACCAGGATGTAATACTGCGCGTCTACCTCTCTCTCTCTCTCTCTCTCTTTCTCCTTTTTTCTCTCTCTCCTTAGAATACGCCCGCGCGCGTTCCCACCGCTTACGCGTGTGCAATGCGCGCGTCTGCTCCTGGCAATGCGCACAGGCTTGCACTATATTGGATTCACGGTGGCATGTTCAATCGGAACGTTTTCGATCCTTCCAAGATGGTGCTACGATTGCTTCGTGAACCACATTTCGGGGGCAATGCTTTGCTCCCGTTGTCTGGTGATCCTCCTGCTACTCCTGCTCCGCATGCCTTTGCTGTTGCTGATCGTCCGTCTCCTCTTCGTGCTCAACCGCCTCCTCCTCCTGCAGTGCTCACTCCCTTTTCCTGATTGCCCATCACACGATGGGGCCAATTCGAATGTGCAGCATTTAGCCAGCGTGGGCCCCGAACGTTGCGCGTCTAGCAATCTATGTGGTGCAACCTGCGTGGTGGAACTATTCTGCGCAATCGATGGTGTGCGATCGATGTTGTGCAATCTAGGTTGGGCAACATACGTAGTAATGTATCAGCGTTGAACATTCTACGTGGTGCAGCCTCTGTGGTGCTATCAAGGTGGTGCAAGATACGATGTACAATCCATGGTGTGGAATCTATATTTTTACGTTGTGCAATCTACGTGATGCATTTATCTTGTCAGTTCACCCTGCCGAACTTTTAGTTGTCAACACCACTGCTCGCGCAGTAATCCCACCAACGCACACTTGTGTTTGAAAAACCTATGCGGTGCCAGGTGCGATGACTGCGTGGCGCTGGCTGGCACGTCGCTGCGGCCGAGCTGGCGCGCGCAAGTTCGCGCGCCGAACGGCCAGCTAGTCTAGCCAAACCGAAGCGGCAGCGGTGGCGCTGACCGCTGGGGCGCTGGGAATTTTCCCAGCGCGTCTCGCAGGCCGCGCCGACGCGCGGACACTTCAGTGCGAATCGGTGGGTCCGGCGGTCGCGGAATCATAGCGACGTCGGCAACGGCAGACGCAATGTTGGGTGTAACGATGCTGGCGGTGATGATGACAATGACGATGACAAGGCCGATGACGACGCCGATGCTGAGCACGCCAATGACGATGATGGTGTCCATGTGTCGGCGATGAAGGTTGTGGAAGGATTCCGACATGCGCGCGGCCGACACACGAAAATGGCCCGCACGGGGTTATTTGATGGGATCGTGCCCCCCCCCCGCCAACACGCGCGCAGTGGTTTTCGGAAGATTTCGGCACTCGCGCGCCACTGACCCATTTGTTTGCATGCGGTCGCATTTTCGGGACACGCGTGGAAAGCTCTGCAACACCTGAGGTGTTTGGATGATTCCAGCATGCGCGCGCGACGACGCGCGCGCGTGAATTTCGCTCCAGTTATTGCAGAGAGGCCTTGGCGCAGTGAGGATATTAGGTAAACGAGTGCACACGCATCGTATTATTGGACGGAAATGAAGGGGGGGTCGATGCCGGCTTGTTGATGGTGTGATTTCATATTGCGAATGAGCGATGGGGCAGAATTGCACGGAATTTGCAAGTCTTCATGGGGGGTCGACCATCCCGGCCTCGGGGGGGGCGTTAGATCACGTTTGGCGCGACAGTGTAATCTAGGTGGGGCAATCTATTGTATGCAATTGTTCTTTACCCATGATTTGACACATCCCATGCTCTTGCAAATATCCCACGCACCCACCGGCAACTAGTTTTGCACAAAACCTCTTAAGACCGTGAATGTAGGTACCAACCACATGGCACTTGGCAACGACACCGACGACGACGTCGACGTCGACGTCGACGACGACGACGACGACAACGCCGACGACGACGACGACGACGACGACGACGACACCGACGACGACGCCGACGCCGACGCCGACGACGACGACGACGATGATGACGCCGACGACGACGACGCCGACGACGACGACGACGTCGACGACGCCAACGACGACGACGACGACAACGACGGCGGCGACGCCGACGACGCCGACGTCGACGACGAAGACGACGACGACGGCGGCGACGACGACGACGCCGACGTCGACCACGACGAAGACGACGATGACGCCAACGCCGACGACGACGACGACGACGTCGCCAACGAAGACGACGACGAGGGACGAGGGAGGAAGGAGGACAACGACGACAACGACGAGGGAGGAGGGAGGACGGCGACGACGCGAACGACGAAAAAGGAAGGAGGACGGCGACGCCAACGGCGACAACGACGAGGGAGGAGGGAAGACGACGACGACGACGACGACGACGACGACGACGACGACGGCGGCGAAATCGGAGGGACGACGACGAGACGCCGACGACGGACGACGACGACGACGACGAGGGAGGAGGAGGAAGGACGACCACGGCGACAACGACGACGGAAACGACCACACGATGCCAAAGAGGACGACGACGACGACGAGGAAAGACAGAGGACGACGACGGTTACGACGACGACAACGACGACGAGGGAGGAGGGAGGATGGCGACGACGACGGCGACGACGCAAGAGTGCGCGCACGCTTTTGTTGAAAATCCGCGTTGCGAAACCCAGCGTTTTTGGATGTTTTTGGGCACGCGATTTTGAAATCCGTCTGAAACCGAAGGTGTGTGAAGGATTCCGGCATGCGCGCGCAATGACGCGCGCGTCTGCACTTTGTCCCATTTGCTGCAGAGGGTTCACGTGACGGCACGCGCGCAAGGGCGTTCAGAAGATTTTGACATGCGCGCGCGCGAAGCCAATTGGGTCGTATTTTTTTTGTTTTGAAAATGTTGAAACACCTATGGTTTTCTTAAGAATTCGCAAGAGCGCGCGCGTAAACTTTTTTATGAACCAGTGCTGCGAAACCCTGTATATTTGCATGTTTATTTGGGAATTTGATTTTGAAATCCTTCAGATACCGAAGGTTTTGACAGGTGTCGGCATGCGCGCGCGACGACGCTCGCGTGTGCACTTCGGTTCACGCGTTGCAAGGGATTTCTGAAAACTTCTGATGTGTGATCAAGGGGTTCGCGCGCATAATATGTTTCGCAAAGGATGGGGGTGGGGCGATGCCGGTTCCCCTGGGATAGTGCACAGTCGCGTTTAGGATGGGCGATGGGGCAGAATCACAAGTAAATTGCAGCGCTAAAAGGGTGGATCGATGCGTCGGGGGGCTGGGGGTGGTAGAACCAATTTGATATATATATTATATATATATATATATATATACATATATATATACATACTATACATACATACATACATACATACATACATACATACATATATACATACAAACATACATACATACATACATACATACATACATACATACATACATACACACATACATACATACATACATACATACATACATACATACATACATACATACATACATACATACACACCCAGGTTTAGGGGGCCAGGCCGCCAGGAGTGTGCCTGCGCCGGGGTCCGGGGCCCACTTTCCTTTTGTTTTTACATGGTTTCGGCGTTCCAGGGCCTCCGAGCTCGCTAGGAGTGTGCCTGCGCTCTCCATGGGGGCTCCGGGGCTCACTTTCCTTATGTTTTTACAGGGTTTCCGCGTTCCTGGGCCTCGGAGGCCGCCGCCTCCGACCCCCCATGGGAGGACGGGGCGGCCGGGGAGGTCCAAAATTGTCCAGGAGGGCCTCCAGAGGCTTCCAACACTGCCCAAGCGGGCCCCGAGTCGCCGAAAGACCGTTCCAGGACGCCCAAGATAGGCCCGAGACGGCCCGAGAGGCCCCCCAAGGCACTCCACGACGCTTCAAGACGCCTCTCCAGAGCGCTTCAAGATGCCTAAATCGTCAATTTTACGCAGGTTTTCAAACGATTTTGGCCTTCCAGCCTTTTCGGCTGTCCGACGTTCCAAGACGGCTCAATAGGCCCTCAAGAGCGCCCCAAGACGGCCCAAGAGGGCCCCAAGACGGCCCCAAAGTCGCCCAAGACAGCCCAACAGAGCCCCAAGACGGCCCCAAGATGCGCCCAAGAAGGGGACCACGACTCCAAAATTCAAGCCTCCCGCTTGAAGAGTGCCCCAGGAGGCCCCAAGGAGCCCCCAAGAGGCCCCAGGAGGCTCCCAAGAGGCACGAGGCCCAAACGATGCCTAAAGAGGCCACAAAACA